TATATTATTTATTTTTAAGGCCACCCTTCCCAGTTTCACTTCCCTAGCGCGTGACTGGGCTGAGAATGGAGCTTTTATCACTCAGCACAAACTACACTCAGGCCCATGGCTACAATCCACATGTGGTTAGTTGTATACGTGCCCAGAGGGTGACCATAATTTAAAAATTCTAAGAGCAAAAAAAGGGTCTTACAATGGTTTTTTACTTTCAATTCTATTTCACTACTGCAACTAAAAGGTTGAAAGTTGGGGGGGGGGAGGAGGGAATTGTGGAGTAGGGGGGGGTGCTCAGGGTGAGGAAGAGGACTTGTAGCAACCGTACACCTGGCTACAATGGCTCTTTCATTAGCGTTACACCTGCGCCCTCCTAGCTCCCCAGAACCTCACACCTGGTACTTCCTGGAACGTGAGGTTTGCAACAAAAAAAACTCCGCTTTTATTTATTTTTCCCCATTTCTTCTGGGGGCCACGCCCGGTCCGCTGGGCTTAGCATGACTCCTGAGGGACTTCTGCAAACAGTCGGCCTTGTGTAGGATTTGGGGGCCTAGCTGCTTAAGTTAGCCTTTTCGAGCCTGTGTGGTATGTGGACTCGTTCTGCAGCCATGTCCTGGCATAGAGTAAAATTCCCACGCTTGATCCTGCTGTATTTATTTATTGCGAATGTGCCTGGCTGCTTTTAATTACAGCTTTAATTATCTTTTTTTTGTGACTTTTGAGTTAAAATAACATTGACATATTTCGGCTACAGTCAAAGCCTTGTTTTATTGAGCGCTGTGTCCGACTTAAGGTGCGTGTGGTCACATGCCTCTGCAGGGTCATTGGGAATTAAGTCTCATTGAGGTTGTGGATATTGAGGTAAAAAGTTTTCCCCTCTACGTTGGAGCAACCAGTTGACAAATTTCCTGCCGCACGATTGAGTTTCAGCATTCGGCGATACCATTGCGCTTTCGGAATTGCTGCCCAGAGGCCTTCACGTCAAAAAACAGTGCGTTTCTTTATTTTATCACGAAAGTCTGTCTTTATTAACCTTTGAGCCTCACGGTGGTTCAGGATTCAACAATTAATGTATTGGTTAATTTGAGGAATGGGTTACTGGTGCTATGTGGACATGCCCAGGATGTGTATGATGCCTCGTCTGCCATTTAGTAAATCTTCCACAGAATTGGCGAAATGTTGGCTCGTCCATGGCACGCAGTTGTGATTACAAACTGTTCGGGCACTTGTGTGTAAAACCGCAGTGTTTTGCTCGCATAAACTTGCCACTATCGATGTTTCATTTCTCAAACTTCCCGTCATTGGAAGTGTTTGGTTCAACTCGGTTTGCCTGTGCGGTGTCGTATTGCACATTAGTCCGATGAGTTGCATTTTATGTAGAAATTAATGAGGGATTTGTCTAAGATGTTTGTTCTCAGCATTTTCCATTTCTTCCCCAGAACTTACATTGCACAAAATGAATGTTCCAACGGCAGCATCCACAGAACAAAGCAAAACAAGAAAACTAAAGTTTTTTTTTATATAGAAGCAGTGAACGACTAATGTCGTAACAAATTTATGTTAACAAAGCAAGCCACGTGTGTCGATCACTTGCCTGCAGTGAAAATCTGCGAGTTTATGGCCCAGGGCATTGGAATCGTTGAGCACAGTGGGTGATTAGAGAGCCAAACCATCTCGATAGCGGCCTTTGTCACTGTCCAGCACTCGCCCACTTTTCCTCTCGGAACCAGGATTATAAAGTAAAACTATGGCGGTGGAAGGAAGTTGCTGTGGGGGAGGGGCAGCCGGTAGCGCACAAATGGGGCAGCGCCTCGTTTACAGGACCACTGGTAACATATCCAGGGATCGTTAAACAAAGGGGCACACGCAGGGGATGCACGCACACGGGAAGGCAAATGCTTCTTATGGGCAAAGAGGGGGGGGGGCAGTGGTGGCAAGGGAGGGGAGTGCACGGCATTGCTCAACTCACAGGAGGCCCCATTAACGAAGACGTAATTTTAGCTGCTGCTGCTTGTCTGGCCAATGAGCGAGCACTCATCCAGTGCCTCTCCGACAACCCCAGCCACGTCACCGGGGCCTCACTCCCTAGGATTTACCTCCGGGTGGAGCCGTCGTTTGAACTTTTAATCTCCTGCCACTTCCTCTCGAAGAGGAGCTCCCCACCCAAGTTAATCGAGTGGAATGAATGTTAGCTGCCTTTCATCGCTAGACGTGGCAATGGCCTGCCGCACTTAGTCCTTAAAATTGGCCTACATTGTCATTCCCCCCATTTCTTATGAGTTCCAGTGAGGCCACTTTAATATAACTTCACCGGCAGACAAAATTTGCTGCCTTCAAATAACTTTTTTTTGCCCCTCTTTGAGTAGTTTCACAAGTCATGCTCGAATTTCTAATATGTGAAATTACAAAATGCAGGACACATTTGGCCTTAAGTTCTGTGGAGACATCAGTAAACCCCACATTACTTTTTAGAACAGATCTGGTGTGCTACCTGAATACCTTTTAACTATGATGGCACATAACAAACTTTGGAACCAGTTGCGGGTGATCATTTCTTCGTGCGTTTGGGTCATGTGCGTGCTGCTCAGCAGTTGGGTATTAATGTAGCAAAAGCCCTGGACCGTTATTTATTATGGTGTGCGGATGAGGGAGGAGAAATGGGGGCAGTGGGTGCACGTAAAAAAAAGCTGATGGCAGCACGTAGACATTGCGCAAGTCCATCGCGTGACAAATTACAATAATAAATAAATAAATCTCGCTCAGCTGGTGCCAGGAACCACAGGCTTAGTGAGTCAGTGGCCTGAAAAAGATTCTTCAGTGGAAAGAAAGAGGCGGGGATGTAAAAAAAATCACTCGTGTGCTTCGTTGAATGGGGGCTCTGTGAGCGCTTTGGCTGAGTAACGGGCGCAGTGCAAGGTGGAGTGTGTAGCGAGGCGCAGTGAGAACTAAGCTCGGGGGCGCTTCGCTTTCAACGTTACCACGAGAATCTCTGGCCTGGGATGTGCGGTGTTCAAGGCCAGGCAAATTGAAACGAATGATGAATTGAAATGAATTAATGAGTGAACGGCCAATCGAACAAATGAACATCCAGTGAATGGACGGATGAAATGCAATGAAAACTCGCAAGAGTTTGGTTTGAGAGAGGTCATCATACAAATATTTTGTTTCTATACTTAACCTTACTAAAAAAAGGAAGCAGCTCGTGGCCAGATTACATAATAATGGGAAAAGGTACAAAACTGTACCACAGGCAGAATCATTAATCACTTAGCAAAGCTGTACATGGAGTTTTGTAAATTTCGGCGGCGGCGTGGCCACATTCGCGCACCGCCCTTGTGCAGAGCTCGCCCTTTTCTCCTTCTCTCCGCTGCCGAACGTGAATTAATGAAATAAGCGAGACGACTGGCGGAGGAGAACCATGTGTTCCGGCGTAACGAAAGCCAGCGGGTCAGGCAGGGGGATCCGTCGCAAGCCAAGAGGCGCGCTTGGACGCCATGCCAAAACTTTTGAGCGCTGTTGAGAAAGAGGCGTCTTTTGTGCAACTGGTTCATGGGTGGAGAGTCCTTCTCCCCCCCCCCCAACCACTCCTCCACCCATTGCTTTCCGCCCTTCTTTGTCCAGTTCCGTACCCAGTACTGTATGTAAAATGAGAAAGTTTATGAAATCCCCCCCCAGCCACCTCAGTCCACCTGGCAGAACAAATGGATACGTCCAAGTTAGTCGATCAGCGGGTTGTGCGAGGTAGGTTTAAATGTGGGTACTCTCACAGCTTCTTCCAAGACATCTGGCCTGCTTAAAAGAGTAAGCCAAATACCCTCCAGAGGGGGCTTTCGTAGAGCTTCTATTGGAGATCGTTCTGCCAGCAGCAGCGTGAGCAAGCATTTTCAGGGCTGTTGCCTTTTATCGTACGCACATGCGCATGTGTGTGCAACAATGTATATGGTAGGATATTATTCTTTGAATAATCGTTCTAGACACATGATGGCAAGTTGCGTGCAAACTGTTGTTTCCTTCTCCAAATTCACTCAATGCTACATGTTGTTGGCAACTGGTGGTGTCTTTCTTTTTGCGTTGTGGCCATTGAATAAAGAGTGGGCAGATTAAAGTTTCCGAGACGTTACAGCGAGGACATAGGATTTATGGCAGCCCATGTGCCCTGGGTCTTGCTCCAATACCAGACCAACCTAATTAACCATTTCATTATGGTTTCGTTTTGAGGAATTTTTGGTGCAATATCCAATAATATCCAGTAATTGAAAGCTGGCCTGCAAGCCTGTGCGACATCCTGCAGTGCAAACGAGAAGAAGCGAGTCCCAGTGCTCAACCGTTACTCAGGGCAGGTATAATTGGACGGGTAAATCAAATTGCAAGTCTCAACCGCACCTGCATAAGGCCGCAGTCGCGAAGCCTCAACTCAGCTTGACCCCTGGCCAAGCTTCTATCTCCATTCCCCCTTTTCCTTTTGGCTAAACTTAAGTCTGTTAAAGTTTCCATAAAGTGGAGCCAAAATAAAAAAAAGTTAGATGTGGGGGGGGGGAGTGGTGGGGTCTGAAAGGAAAAGGAGGCTTTTTTTTCAGTCCAACTCCCGACCGATGGTTTTGATACAAAGCAGACAGGCCAGGATATGTGAAAAAGATGCGCATCTCAAAGACTGGCACCGAATAGAATGAAATGCTTTGCCGTACAATGAAACGCTATGGTGGACCGTACGACAAAAAGTGTTTTCGCGTGGCGCTTGTGATAAAAAAAGTGCGTTTAAGCATGGCTTGCCCTGTATTCCCACAGCTGGTGAACACCGCTAATGGGATTGGGTGGCAGCCTATGTCGGCATAAAAGTGGCCAAAAAATGTTGCCTATCACGAGAACTTGTGTGACCTCCAATCGGTGTTCTTTCCAAAATGTTTTGTGCCCACACCACCAACTCTTTCTGCAACATAACAGTTGTATCAATGTTTTCCTGTTGATTAACGTGCTCCGTGCTTGGTCTCTGCTTATTTCCCACACAGCGCTCCCTCCGAAGCCGCCAAAGACTCCAGCACCGCTGCCAAACAGCAACGGCATCAAGGAGACGAGCAGCACTTTGCTACAGGACGCCGAGTGGTACTGGGGCGACATCTCCAGGTGAGCATCTTCGCACCCGCGTCACTCCGCTCGCCTGCCGCCCCCATCACACACGCCGGCCGTACGACACCACCACACTGGTGTTCATACACCGGTGTGGTGGTGTTTATACACCACGCCACCTACAGTAATGTCCTCAAAAAAGTAAAAAAAAATATGCCACTGAAAAGCAAATACTAGAACATGGAATCCAGTAGTAGTACAGTACTGTACAGAACCAAACTGGGACTGCCTGGCGTGTGAAGTTTCTACGCAGCATGAAGACACAGCCTCCAAGTCCCGATTGCTTTGCATGCTGTTCAATTTTCTTGCTTTTTATTTTGATTCTCCATTTTACAAAATTAGCTCGACTGTTAAGCATCCCCTTTTTCCGCGACATTTTGGGGACACAATGTTCTACCACAATTTCCCCATTCTCTCCACCAATGTCTGTGCAGTACATTCGCAGCATTCGTCCCCTGTTGAATTAAAAAGAAGATTGCAAGTGCCGATAAAAATCGGAAGGGTCTTTTTTTTTCAAGCCATATTTTTAAGTGATATTTTCTTCCCCCGCTGAAATTTTCATTGGTGTTTTGCCCGAGAAGACGTTAGGAGTTTTTCTTAGCATTTTGCAAAATAGATTACTCTCTGTAGTTGCACAATACCAAAGGTGTCCCGATATCGTTACATGCCGACACGGTGCAGTGGCTGTTATCCAAAGGTTTGGGGAAATAAAAGTACCTCCCATCACCCGCAAATAAAAGGTTTTCTAGTTACACATGCTAAGCATTCTCAGTTGAGACAAGAAGCCAGTACGTTTCATCTACCATGTTGCCCTGGCTTTGAGTGACTTGTCGTTTGTAATGACAATAGAGGGCACCACCATATACAGTGAGGGGAAAAAAGTATTTGATCCCCTGATGATTTTGTACGTTTGCCCACTGACAAAGAAATGATCAGTCTATAATTTTAATGGTAGGTTTATTTGAACAGTGAGAGACAGAATAACAAAAATCCAGAAAAACGCATGTCAAAACTGTTATAAATTGATTTGCATTTTAATGAGGGAAATAAGCATTTGACCCCCTCTCAATCAGAAAGATTTCTGGCTCCCAGGTGTCTTTTATACAGGTAACGAGCTGAGATTAGGAGCACACTCTTAAATGGAGTGCTCCTAAACTCAGCTTGTTACCTGTATAAAAGACATCTGTCCACAGAAGCAATCAATCAATCAGATTCCAAACTCTCCACCATGGCCAAGACCAAAGAGCTCTGCAAGGATGTCAGGGACAATATTGTAGACCTACACAAGGGGATGGTGTTCTTGGTCATAGGCAGCTTTACTCCTCCTCCAAACACGGCGAGTTGAGTTTATGCCAGAGAGCTCCATTTTGGTCTCATCTGACCACAACACTTTCACCCAGTTGTCCTCTGAATCATTCAGATGTTCATTGGCAAACTTCAGACGGGCAGGGGGACCTTGCGGGCGCTGCAAGATTTCAGTCCTTCACGGCGTAGTGTGTTACCAATTGTTTTCTTGGTGACTGGTCCCAGCTGCCTTGAGATCATTGACAAGATCCTCCCGTGTAGTTTTGGGCTAATTCCTCACCGTTCTCATGATCATTGAAACTCCACGAGGTGAGATCTTGCATGGAGACCCAGGCCGAGGGAGATTGACAGTTCTTTTGTGTTTCTTCCATTTGCGAATAATCGCACCAACTGTTGTCACCTTCTCACCAAGCTGCTTGGCAATGGTCTTCTAGCCCATTCCAGCCTTGTGTAGGTCTGCAATATTGTCCCTGACATGCTTGGAGAGCTGTTTGGTCTTGGCCATGGTGGAGAGTTTGGAATCTGATTGATTGCTTCTGTGGACAGGTGTCTTTTATACAGGTAACAAGCTGAGATTATGAGCACTCCCTTTAAGAGTGTGCTCCTAATCTCAGCTCGTTACCTGTATAAAAGACACCTGGGAGCCAGAAATCTTTCTGATTGAGAGGGGGTCAAATACTTATTTCCCTCATTAAAATGCAAATCAATTTATAACATTTTTGACGTGCGTTTTTCTGGATTTTTTTGTTCTTCTGTCTCTCACTGTTCAAATAAACCTACTATTAAAATTATAGACTGATCATTTCTTTGTCAGTGAGCAAACGTACAAAATCAGCAGGGGATCAAATACTTTTTTCCCCCCACTGTAACAACACTGAGCAAGTGGAAAATCTTGATGGCACAATAAGCAAATCCTTGATTAAGAAACAATTACTGCCACTTCATTGCAATCGTTTACTTACGCACCTAAACGCATAAAGGAAAATAGTTTTGTAACTGACTGTGCTTTATCCTTTTTTGTATTCAACGTGCGTGTTTTAAAAAGAGATGTGGGCTGAAATTTATTTTGGCGCAGTTTTTTCACTCTGTGCTTCTGCACTGCCACCAGCGCAGTCCTGTCAAGTTTTATTTCAGAGGAAGTTCATTGGTTCTTTTTTTTTCAAGTCAATGATCGGGTTTAAAACAGAACTCCAGACTCGGCGACTGTGAAAACGAATTAACGGTTTTCATGGTAAATGAATAATACACGGAGCATAAACGTACAGTTAACTTTTTGATTGTAGCTTGTTGGCAAAAATTAACTACTTTGTTTTATAAGATAAATTAGTGATAAAAGGTCAGTGGGAAGAGTGGTGGTGCAGTGGTTAGCACAATGCACTATGCACCCAGTTTTGATGCATAACATCATTAGCAAGCGATATTTGAACCAGTCCTGGTCCTCCCCTTCACCACCCTGCACTGAGCAGCTTGGTGAAGAATGGCGTAACAACCCCCATGACTGACCAGAGGGAGACATTCATGTGGTAGTTGATTGACAAGACGCTGCCATCTCTTATTGTAACAGCCTGCTAATTTGTAGTCTAAAAGCATCCTAACCGATATTACAGTATCATTATTATAAGAGTTTTATTATCATTATTGATTTGTTTGACTACAAGAGCGTTTAAAGTACTTTTTGACTGCATTGAGTGCAATTCACCCCGCGCTCTTGCTGGTTCAAAGGTCGGCCGATCGATGCGATTGCCGCATGCTAACGAGCCCATCTCCCCCCCCCCCCCCCCCGATTGTAGTGCAGACGTGCAGCACTTGCCCTTTTTGTGCCATGCTCCTGCAGCCAAGGAGAATGAACCAGACGTGCTAACTCTCCCCTTTCGCTCACCTCTTGACTATAGCTCTTTTTACCCTTGGCCACGCGTCCCTCTCAAAATTCCTTCCCTTAGGCTGACGTGTGATTCGGTCCCATGACGATTTGCGCCATGAAACCTACCTCTAGCCACTGCTGGATGGAAGGCCTCCTCCCTAAGCCGTTGCCAAACCTCATGGCCTCGTGATGCAACAATCCATAGCTTATCCACATGAGCCGATTTCGTCGCTACATCTCTGCAGTGGACTGCTGATCGTGATAGTGATGATGAAGACTTACCTCGAATACAGACATCTTCTCACCCCTATGTTTCGGCTGTAATTTGTGTGTGTTGTGAAAAGGGTAAAAATTATCTGAACATTTTGTAACTTGTTACAAAAAAAACAGCTTTGGATGCGGGGATGCCAAAGTTCGCTTATAATTTACAAACTTCGCCTCCCACTGTGTCCAATCTTGTTCCCATTATATTTCCGCAAGTAACCATGTGTGTGTGCCGGTCCCTGCGGTGAATGTAATCTTTGTTTTTTTTTTCTTCCCTTCGCGTGTCCGTGCGTGCGTGACACCTGCAGGGAGGAGGTGAACGAGAAACTGCGGAACACTCCCGATGGCACTTACCTGGTGCGAGATGCCTCCACCAAAATGCAGGGCGACTATACGCTAACGCTCAGGTACACTTCAGCACCGCGCCACAGTCACACCGTAAACATCACCCCCATCAGCCTAACTCCCAGGAGGGCCCTGCCTTGTACACATCCCAACCACCACCCTAACTAATGCACAGGTGTCTGTCTGTTGCATCAAACGGCTTGAGTGACGTTTTCCTTTCAGTTTCCTCCCAATGTCCTCTGTCCGCTAACGGGCGGCCAAACATGTCCATGCGCAGCCCTTTTGTCAGTTTTCTGCTGGATGACAGTTTTCCCGCGGGTGCGCCAGTTGTAATTTGACCGTACTCATCAACACGGAATGCGCCCAATCTCCAAAACTAAAGCCGGGTTGTGCCTAGATAAGATACTTGGATGGGTGACCCCCATTCATAAAACAACAGGCTGTTGCATGACTACGTTGTGGGACAGCGGAGGTCATTTGTAGCAAGATACATTGTTGCGCTGTACTATCCCTCCTACGTCTGTGCTCCCTCCACACCTTTACCAACCCAAAATTTGGCTCCGAGCACTTTGCCCGAATTTCAACGCGAATGAAAGCGTGCCTTTCCCTCGTTCTCATTTAACAGTTTTCCATGAGCTTAATCCTGGCTGACTGACTGACCTTTACCCCCTAACCTCTAACCCTCGAAATGCCCTCATTCCCGTCCTGCATTGCTCCGCGCCGTGACCGTGCTCTTTCTCCGCGCTTTTCGTCCTCGCGCTTGTGCCTCGGTTTCCTTTGCGGCAGTTACCCAGCATATATCTTGGCACCTTCCATCGGGCAATAATTTCACACACTGCAGAAATTAACTCGGTGTCCTGTAGGCAATGGGGGTATTGTATCGGTGCCTTTTGTCGCACACAAGAAAGTCAACCGCAACGCTTGCTGTTGGAGCCCTGCGGCTTTCCCCCGCTTTAACCTTTAATTAGTTTTTTTAAAACCCGCTTAGGCTCTCACCTGCCAGATGCTCCAGTAATATCTCAAGCATTGTCTCTACGCCGCTCTGGTTATTGCGTTCCAATATTTATTTAATTCTCTGTTTCGTCGCCCCCGGGGCCAAAGAAACCTTCCAGATGTTGGAAAAGGGGATTGGAGCTGTTGCAGGAGATGAAAGCAGCGAGAGCAGTAGGCGGCGGGTTGGGGAGGAGGTGACGAGAGGTGCAGGGCAGACAAGGAGCTTTGTGGCAGTGCCAGGATGGAGTTAACCTGTGGGAAGATGGCCCCGGGGCTGGCAGATGCTTCGCAGACACTTTGCTGGTGGCACAACAGCGCCCTGGCGTCCAAACTAGTTTGCGTGCGAGCGCCCTCGCCACGTTTGCAACAAAATGAGTTTAGGAGTGGAACAGGTTTCCTCGGGCGATGCCACGCCATATCTGCTCCAGAGGAAACATCTGCAGAGCGTTGATGGGGTTCAAAATGGAGAAACTCTGTGCCACGTTGTGATGCCACCATGCTGAGGTGGATGCGCTTCAATTTGCGAGTGTGTGTCCGTCTTTGCTCGTCTGTGTGTGTCTGTGGGTGGAGCAGTAGCGTAGCGATTATCACGCTGCGCTACGAACCTGGTGGCTTGACTTTTATTCCTGGCTACTGCTCACAGCAGTGAAAAATATCTGAACCATTCCTGGGCTTTCCCTAACTCAAACTCAACCTTAAATGAGTAGCTGTTGCAGTGTGTAAACATCACCACTGGTGAGACGGAAGGCGGGCCAGAGTGATCTTGGTCACACCACCCCCTCGTGCGCTTCGTCGTCCTAAGTAGGGGCTCGCTGACAGCTCTTGCCCCAACGGCTTGTTAAGACTATATGGGGGATCTTTGTGTGCGTGTGGCTGTGCTTGTTTGCATCTCTATGTGTGCACTTTGATTAGAAACCGGTTGGTTAATAGTACTCGACACAGGAGCCACAATGAAATGAGGCTAGATCATCTTACAAATTAAAGCCATCACAATATACGATCTCCATGATGCATGTGTTCGTGTTCCAGTAGCTCTTATCACAGCCGTTTCTCCAAAAACTTTAAAAAATCCTGAAAGCAAATACCGTTTTGATACTTTGACCATTCTATATTTAGTCTTCACAAATGCTCTTTGTGTGTATATATAGAAACGCCTTCTAATTGAGGCCTGTCAGCCCGAATGTTTACCCTCTTGTATTTGGTTACCTATCCAAGAGACTTATCACGCGATTGTGTTGGTGGCACTGTGCACACACGCGCACTGTGCAATGGTCACGTGTACATACGTGACCATTGCACATTCTCATTCAAGTCATCATTTAAACATATATACATAAAGGGGCCATTATCCATGCATCGTGAGCACATGTTACAATGCCTATTCCATTTGCTTCATAGCGTGACCATGGAAACAAACATGTAAGCAAATCTCTGGATTTGAACCATAATCAGTGAAATGGGTCTTGTGATCGTCCCAACAAAAGTTGTATGCAATGTGATCAGATAACAGCCCATGAGTCTTCTTCTTAAGAAATCGCCAAGTTTTACACACTGCCATTCCATCTGAATGGTGAAACACTTGCATTATGTTCCTTAATATTTAACAAAACAACCTAAAGCAGGAACCTCCTAAATAAGTGTTTTAAGACTGTGGTTTTCTTGGTTAACAAAACGTGTGATTAAAATTATTACATCTCAGAATATTATGCACATGATCACAACAGTTTTTAGTCTACTCTCACACTTGTCGCATGTTAAAATGGTGCGATCTCTTAACGTTTTTGTCCTGTCTTCTCCGCTCTCCCTCCGACACCTCCCCTTTTAAACTCCACAGAAAGGGCGGCAACAATAAGCTAATCAAAATATTTCACCGCGACTCCAAGTACGGCTTCTCGGAGCCGCTCACGTTCAACTCCGTCGTGGAGCTCATCACCCACTACAGGCACGAGTCGCTGGCGCAGTACAACCCCAAGCTCGACGTGAAGCTGCAATACCCGGTCTCCAAGTCACAGCAGGTGCCAGACACTTGGCCACATGCACAACAACAACCACCACCACCAAGTAGCAGTGGCACGCGTCACCACGGTGCTTGTGACAGGCTAGGTGCACCTCGTGGTCGCATGAACTGTCGAACGCTCGCTGGCAGGAGCTCACTGGACACACTCAGGTGCCATGTCTTGACTGACTGAGATGACTGGCAGATGCGCACCACCTTTGCTCCCCACTGTGCCAATTACCACGAACGGGACCGAGGCACATTCACACATACACACACGTATGCAAGCAAACAAAAACGCACGCACACACCAACTCTCTCACGCCCCGCATACTTGTGCAGCTTGGCTGGTGTGAGATACTATTTTTTTTACCTCGTAGAATTATATTACCTTCAGAGTCAGAATATAGAATACATATGAAGACATACATGCTTAGCATGCAGAAATATACACACTCCTCATCACTTTTTTATCGTTAATACCGTGATTGCTGTTCCCGTAAACTTCAGTTAATGATTCCTCTACCCATTGTAAGGACTGTCTACCAGACTGACTTTCACTCTTATCCATACTGCGTGACATCATCACACTTGCAGGTCCCAACTTTTGGCTTGCTGCTTCTCCCTCACACTGATCGACTTTGGAGTTCCATCCCATTGTCTGTGTTTTTAAAGGTCTTAGAACCTTTCATACTTAATATAATATGTTAACTCTTTTTTGTTCCAACTCTTTAACATTGCTGGGGGTTTTTTTGCGTTTGACGTTTTGGGCCTTTGGCATTGTGGTCAGCAATTGTATTTATTTTAAAACCCAGTGTAATCACTCCATAGTCTTTTTTATGCACCTCTACAACACCGTCACCAGCTCCATCCATTCCTCACCAGGCCCAGAATGTAGTCATAAGGTGGAAGGGTCGTAAGACAATTTTTATTTAGTTACTCTTGCGAGCTCTTCAAATCTACTACATTGCTGCCGGTCATAATCCACCCGGTCTGCACGGACAGTGCGTTGGTGGAAGAGCTTCCGTGCCCACGTATGCGCCAAGACTCGCGCTCTCACCGCCGTGGCACGAGCGATAAGAATCCTTGCGCTCCCACACCCCCGCGCGTGCAAACCGCAGTTGAGACGTGACTTCCCCTTCGTCAAACAAGCCGCACCAGAAAGGGTTTCCTGCTGACCTCAGCCCCCCAGTGCACTCGTAGGCCCGTGCGCAGAGCGATGGGAAGTTCGTCAGAGCCCGTCCTGCGCAGCAGCAGCGCATTGCTTCCGGCCACAAGAGAGAGGTGGCTCACGGGTGGCGTCATTGTCGACCGCTGAGAGAGTCAGCGACCGGTGGTTTAAATGGTCTGCGAAGCGTGTTGTTGCAATTGTGGTACGAAATGAATTGATGAAACTAAACTTGACGTTTGTTTGCGGTCTGGTTGCGTTGGGCACGTGACTACAGGACCAGGTGGTGAAGGAGGACAACATAGATGCGGTTGGCAAGAAGCTCCAGGAGCTGCACAAAGACTACCAGGACAAAAGCCACGATTACGACAAGCTCTACGAGGAGTACACTCGCACCTCGCAGGTACGTGGCGCCGGTCCGCACAGCCGCCTGCGCACGCCATACATTTAAGCAGCGTTCTTATGTGGCCCAACAGTTCAAGCCGAGTCGGGCAAGGGCAAGCACAGACCTGCATCACATGCCGATGGTGGCTGATGTGCATTTCCGAGACTCAAATGTGGGACGACGGGATTGTAGCACACTATGGGAACCCCAGGCACCACCAATCTCGCGTGCACGTGGTCACGTACACACGGTCACTTAGCAATAACCGCCACGCGGTGACGTCACCACGACGCCTGTGCCAGGCCAGGTGCACTTTGAGGCCACGTGAAGTGTCGAAGGCTCGCTGACAAGAGGAGGCCACGGGACAGACCCAGGTGCTATGGGGTGACTGGCAGATGCACCAGCTGTGGCCCCGGCTGTGCCAATGGTCACACACACACACACACGCGAGCACATACACACGCACAAAATCGTACATAGCGCACCTGTCGAACGTTCGTACAGCACACCTGTTCAACGGGCACGCAGCAGAGGTTCCCTACGGATCACCACAGCACGTAATTGTGCGCAGCACCTGGCGTGCGTACCCATATACGCCGCCGCCGCCCTCGCCACCCTCCCGGTCTCGCCACAGTACCTGGCCAACTCGCACGACACCTGTCCAGCGCAAATAGACAGCCCTGGATCCCAGCCCCCACACAGCATGCTTGTCTTGTTTGTTTAGTGGTCAGGCGTTTTGTGTGTGTAAATATGACGTTGGGTGGAGCGGTGGCTCAGCAGTCAGGGCACTGTGCTATAGACCCGGTGACCTAAATTTGATTCCTGGCCACAGCTAACATCAGTGGCCGGTGATATCTGAACTGGTACTGGGTAGCCCTCCCCACTTCACTAACCCCCACACTTACCAGCATCTTTAATATGGTCAAATGACCAGTACTCGTTTGTGGATGTGCTTTCTTCTAGCGGTAAATTCACAAAGGGCTGTAATTTATTATAATTTTTTTTTATATTTGTATATCCTGTGCATGCGTTTAGGTTTTACCATCAGATTTATTACAATTGCAGTTACTGTCCAGTCAGGGAATTTCCCTGGACTACAAGCCACCTGAGCCAGTACCCCTGCACACAACCACACTCTCTATTGCTGCTTCATGCTTTGGTGGGCGATTCGTTTAATGTTGCCCTCCAAACCCCCCTCTCCCCGCACACCGTTCCACAGGAGATCCAGATGAAGAGGACGGCAATCGAGGCGTTCAACGAGACGATCAAGATATTTGAGGAGCAGCGGCACACGCAGGAGCGCTACACCAAGGAGTACATCGAGCGCTTCAAGAGGGAGGGCAACGAGAAGGAGATCGAGAGGTGAGCGCCGAGGATACCGGCGGTGGGGGGGGGGGCATCCCACGCAACACAGCGTGTTCTCATTTACAGCATATTCGTATTGCGTGCCGTGTTCTGTTCATAAGCAGCATGTCCATATGCGGCGTGACCTCTAAGACCATTGTGGAAAGCCACCCACTCACCCTCCTCTAAACTCTGGGTCCCCCCCCCCCGCCCACGCATGTGGTCCGTTAGCTCGCTTACATGCGAGTATGGTTGTGTTTCTTCTTCGCAGGATCATGCTCAACTACGAGAAGCTGCAGTCTCGGCTGAGCGAGATCCGGGACAGCAAACTCCGGCTCGAGCAGGACCTCAAGAAGCAAGCGACTGAGAACCGAGAGATCGACAAGCTGATGAACAGCATCAAACCGGACCTAATCCAGCTCAGAAAGATCCGCGACCAGTACCTAATGTACGTACGTCACTACGCCAACTCTTGCTACCTTGCACGCCCGACAGTTTCGCTCAAAATAACTAAAGTGCACTGCTCCCCCTCTTACCGCTATACTTACCGGTCCGTATTTTGCCGTGCAGGTGGCTCACGCACAAAGGAGTGCGGCAGAAGAAAATCAACGAGTGGCTCGGCATCAAGAACGACAACACAGAAGAGTGAGTGTCGCGCCACCCGCGGCCACTCCACTGCAGTGCCCAGCGACACGCACACATGCAGACACTGCTTCGCTCCTTTTGTGTGGCGCAGACATACCCAGCGATTTGCCTGCATAGGTGGTTGGGGTAGGCGCCGTGAATAAGCGTCTCATTAAGGCCGACACGGTGCATGAAAGGGAAGTTTGGCCAGGACCTCTGTCTTCCCATTGCTGGTGCTTACATATCACACTAGGTACTAGTTTAAGGCTGAGTTGTCCTAGTCAAGGCCCAGGACCGGTTCAGATAATTGTCACCGGTGCTAGCCGCGGGATCCAAAGTAAAGTGCGTTAACCTAATACCGCTCCACCACATGACCTAGAACAACAACGGCCATTCGCCACAAATTAGTAGTGACGTCACTCTCAGCGTGTTGCAACCACGTGAAGTGCCAAAGCACACTGGGTAGGAAGGACCTAGATGCTATGGGTTAACGAACAAACATCACACATTGTACTCGAATTGTAAATGTGAGTTGACCCTCCAACACACCGGTGTGCTGTACTAGTAACAAAGCTTACTAATTGGCTGTGTGGGGTGGTGGCGGGTTTAACGACACATTTCTATTTTTGCGATATAACCCAAAAAAAATATTATGGATAACATTGGTCGCGAAAGCCTACGTGTTAAACAAACGTCGCACACACACACACACACGTGCGCGCGGTGTGACGTCGCACGTCCACTGCTAACCGAGGCCGTTTGTGTGCGCGGCCCCTTTAGCAGCCCATACTCGATCATCGACGAGGAGGAGAACCTGCCCCATCAGGATGAGAAGAGCTGGTACGTGCCCGACATCAACCGCGAGAAGGCCGAGGATATGCTCAGGGACCGAGCCAACGGCACCTTCCTGATCCGCAAGAGCAGCAAGCACGGCTTCTATGCCTGTTCCGTCGTGTGAGTGACGCGCACACACGCACAAACACACTCGCGCATTTGATACACGTAGCCCTTGGCCCCTCGATGAACCCACCATGCCACAGATTATTGCGTTACTTTTCGTTTGTAAAAGAATACATAAGCAAAATGTTCTGTGTCTCCACATAAATACACTTTTTTTGTAGTCCTTCAGCTTATTGGATATCTAGACCAATGTTATCAAGCTGCATTTGTTTTAGCAAATTAACTGGACCAGTTTCAACCTTTTGAGTCTCGGCAGTCAGGCTTTTTAAACACATGCTGCTGGGTTACCAGATGTTATTGGAAAACGCACTCCATATTTTTTTTATTTCTACATGCCAACATTAGCTCAGGGGTAGGTCACTCAATCTCCTCTGATATACCCCCGCATATGCTGGAAATCCCTTACCCCAGCCATTTGTGCTGTCCAACTCCCCTGCCCAGGCTCACAGATATTGCTTTTTCTCCTCTCCTTATGACTGACTGTGTCTCTGTCTATAAAATATGCCCACTACTTTGTATACAGCTTCCTTGAGATGTGTGTCACCATATTATTTGATTGTTCCAAGCTATTTGCATTTTTGGAGGTGGACAAAAATCCTAGAGTTCGGCTCTTTGGAAGGTCACAAACCAAAAAGATCGTTTGATTGTCAAAATCACCACAGCCTGCCAGTTTCTCCGAGGAGTTAATCAAGCGTATCGTTAAACAACACGACGTTATTTTCACAAGCACACCTTGATCTCCTTTACAAAAACGATAATCTCATCGCTTATATATCCGATAATCGTTTCGGAGAGGGGAGTTTTTTTTTTTTTTTGCGATAGCAGCTATGAAACCTCATGTCACGTCAGTGGTGTGCGCGTCATCCTTAACTTATACCCGTTGTGTTGTCCGTGTCTTCCGTTGCGTTTTGTCTTGTGGCGCGTTTCCCCCCGACCCCCCGGTGGCGTCTCTCTACCGCTGGCCCACGCTTGGCCCACCGCTTGGCCTGCGCAGCGTGGATGGCGAGGTGAAGCACTGCATGATCTTCAGCACGTCCACCGGCTACGGCTTTGCCGAGCCCTACAACCTGTACGGCTCGCTGCGTGAACTCGTCCTGCACTACCAACAGACCTCGCTCGTGCAGCACAACGACTCGCTGAACGTCACGCTAGCGCACCCCGTGCACTCTCAACCCTCGCAGCAGCCTACGGCGGTGCGCAGGTGAAAAGTTCGTGCGCTGGATTTTTTGAGAAAAAAAGAGGGTCGTGCCGACCCACCGGATGATCTATTTGCCCCACGCGACAGGACCCCCCTTCCCCGAGTAAGCCAGCGAGTGTTTTTTTTCCGAAATGACACGCCTGTACATAGTTACTTTTGCTTTGTTGATAATTATTTTCATTTTTTTAGTTGTTTTTTTTATAATCGTACAATTCTTTTTTTTTTTGCACAAGCAAGCGAAACACAGAAGAAAGGCTTTGAAAGACAGGCGAAACATTTATTGGCGTTGGGAATTTTGATTCCCCTTTCGGAAGATCGCGGCTGAGAGTCGGTCGGGCTCGTTTTGTCGTGGGACCTAAAACGACGTTTGTAAGACGCGCACCGTGATGCGAGAAAGAGAGAAACCGTAACGGTAACGTTAAAGCAAAACCAACGTACGCATTTCTCTCTGTCTGGAACCCTTCCCGTCGTGGTAAGCGTGCGACTTAAAACAATTGGATTGTTCCAGATGCCTTGCCTATGGTGCTACAATCCTGTCTTACAACCTGTGTCTGGGCTTTGTGAACACTCTGCAGGGTGATTAGGACTGGCACTAGCAAGTGGACAAGCAAAAGCAGGATAAAAAAAAAAGGCAACGATATAATATCTCATGTAGCTCTTTTTACTACTAAAATAAAAAAAATGAAACTTAAAAAACGGGCCACTTGCATTATATTTTTTTCTGCGTCTCAACATCGATTCAGAGAGCACTTGTGCATCCAGTGGAGCCCACACGGAGAAGTTTTGACTGAAACAGACGCATTTATTGTGAAATGTTTGTCTGGGATGGCGGAGATGGATGTGGGGTGTGGAGAGGGTCAGACATTTTTTTCTCGGTTATAGTTTATTTGCGTCGTTATTTTTGGTTTTCTTGTAATGACAAACCTGACGTACTGTAGCTATGAGCAGTGTTTGAATTCTCGATAGAATTAAACGAGAGAGAAGCGCGTTTTAGACGGTACTCTGGCAGAGCTGGGTTGATGAACTCATTGTAAATATTTTTCAGATGTTCCCGTTTTTTTTGTTGTGCCGACAGCTTTCGGCATTCTTTTAAACCTCTTCTCCTTTTCTGACCTTCGCTCCCCCCCCACAGACAGCCCTAAAACCCGCATGTACGTGTAAGAAGCCTGCTGCGTTTGTCGTTATGAGGACTTTTCTTTTGTCGTCGTCGTCGTCGTTTTTTTATTGGTATATTTTTTCAAATTTTGTTGTTTTTTTTTTTTATAAACTGATCAAGAGACGTTAGAGTAGAACTCAACAGTATTTGTTTAAAAGTTTTGCGTGTGCCAGTGCTACGGGAAAACCCCGCGTACGCGAAATGCTCCTTTCTTAGGCGACACGTAACTTGCTCTTCAGCTCTGAGCTCGGTGCTAGATTCGCTAGCCTTAAATACTCATCTAGTGTGCAATGACTGAGTGCGATCGTTTTTTTAGTCTTGGTTCGTGTTCACGTTTTGGAGGAGTTTGGGACGTTTAAAAGACCGAACTTTAACTCTTTGCGTTAGGGGGGAGGTTTGGCCATTGTGTATATTTTTTTTCCTGCCAAACTCTAACTTCAAGCAAAACATTTCAAGTTATGATTGAGTTCTTGTTGAAATGTGACTTTTGCAAGAAGTTAAGTGGTGCTTACCTTGGCTCTTAGGTATTTTCGTATGTTGATGTTTTTTTTTATTTGTTGTCATTGTTTATTTTGTTCAATTCCAAAACTCCTTCAATGGCCATTCTCAGCCTTAAAGATAAGGAGTCTTGGAACAGTGAAGTTGAACCATATCACTTTAACCTTTAATACGTTAACCTTTGCTTTATTTTTTTTTGTTATTAGTGCACTCTTCTCTGTTCTGGTGCGTCTGTTGATTTTGAGAAAAAGAAATAATATAAGGTAAAAACAGAAATCTAAAAAGAGATGAACTTGTGGCAGCGATGATGACAACGGCGGAGGAGATGATAAGAACAACAAAAGCGAAAGTGTTAGCCGCGACTTTGCGACTTCCTGGATGCCGTGCGTCACCCCAAAAAGAAAAACGGCACCCGCTTTTAGCAAACGGGCGCCCCCCGTAGCCACTCGGCCACACAGAACCTGTTCCAAAGACATGAAGGATCTGCTTGCTTTCGCACCCAGCGCTTACAAAAAAGGATCATTGGTGCACAGCCATTGGCAAGGTGATTTACGGCAAAGGATTAAAGAAGACGGCGATTTTAATATTGATACTTGCACAGGTGACATCGGCACAGAGAGAGAGAGAGGGTGCAAGGGAAAGAGATTGGGTTGGGGTGGGAGGGGGGGTGGGTGTTAGGGAGTAGCGAGGGTGTGCGGAGGTGGGATGGGAGGGAGCAGGGATGGGTCGTGCAGTTGTACATCGTGTTCACAGCAACTGTTAAACTGGCACATGGCACACGCGCACGCACGCACACACGCGCACGCACTCACGGACCCAACGCTTTGAATGTGTTCTGTCTCCCACTGCGAGGCAGGCGAAAAATCTGGAATGTACCTTGGGGGGGGGGGGGGGGGGGGATGATTAAAGACTTTCTGTTTTTTTTATTTGTTTAATATAAGATTTGTAAAAAATTAAAATATAAAAAAATCCTAAAAAACAAAAAAAAGAAACAAAAAAGTTAAAAACAAAAAGCAGAGCATTATGGGGCAATCAGAAATATAAGATATTAGCAATACTGTGACTTTGCATGAACGCTCTTGCATCTATTCATTTTTTTTGTATTGTAGCAGAAAACATTGTTTTGTCTTTCCCCGTTCTGAGTCTTGCGGGTGATTAAAGTTGTTTTTTTTTTGTTGGCAGTGTAAAAGCCTCTCTTGAAACGCACTCGCTTACGTTTAGCAGATGTACTGGACCTCAAGGCTGATGTTTCCGGACTGTTTGGATCTTAATCAGTTTTGTAAACATTAAAAAAAACAATTTTAACCACATCAAAGTTTTATTTTTAAGCGAACTTTACTGGAGATTAATTTGTCCTCAACATTAGAGCAAAGTTAGTTTTTGTAATTTATGTTTTGATGGTACAGTGATTCCAAAATATTACCCCATTGAAACTAATTAAATTTGTCTTGGGTTCATAGCACCTCAAAGTTATCTATGATTATAATAAAAAAAAGGCATTACAATTTGAAATAAATATACCCAGCATTTCAGAATGTAACCTAAACGACTGCTAATACATTTCACGACAAACTCTCAACCGCATTGCCACAGTGGCTCTGCGCCCTACGCGCCTATTTGCCGGTGTCAGCCAAATGTTGCGGCAGCGTCTGGCGGGCAACTGCCAGCGATATCCAGTACATCTTTTGCTTTTTACCTGCGGACCTCTGGCCACCGGGATAAAAAATTCGCTAGATTCACAGTTACTTTTATGTTGTTATTTTTTTTCTCTCATTCATTTGATGCAATCACGGCTTAAAGAGGTGGTGTGGGCCAGGCAGGTTCAACCAATTTACGCGTGACATTTTTTTCCCCAACTGCGTAAAAATGACCGGGGCTAAAAAAAACCGAGACCACGTTCGCTTCCCAGTGCCGCGACTGTGGCGTGTTTTTTTGTAAAGCCGCTCGTAGGTGGACGGGTCGAAACACAAGGCCCCCCCCCCCTCCCAAAGGCGCAGTAAGCATTATGATGTTGCAGACGTGCACTCCTAATTACGCCAAGCTTATTTGACGATGAGGCTACTGCTATGCCTCCTCTGTCGTTTGGACCGAGGAGTTAGGGGTAGACCTAGCCGAAGCTCTAGCCCTTCGCCCCCCCCCCCCCTCCCCATGTTTTCCCATATTTAGCCTTTCAAATAGAATATTGAGGCGCTTGAATCCTTGGTAAATGAGGAGCCGGGATGAACGAGGAGCGTGTTCACGCGCTGTGGAGCAGAAGGAACGGCCCAGCTGCTTGCACCCGTCTCACACTTGGCTCCCACGCACTTGCCTGTGTCCACAGTGCCGTTAACAGGACGTATCGGGCTCGTGCCGTTCTTAATCGGGATGTTTCTTTTTAATTAACATTAATGAACGTTAGTAAAATAACATACAAAAAATATATATATAAAACGTCGTGATAAACAAGCGCGTTAAGTCAACGGATACAACTTTATCCGCGGCCTGAAAACGCTCGCGTTTTTTGGGGCGGGGGCGGGGGGGCGTAGGTGTTGGACGGGATGCGAAATTAAATGTAATTTTTGACGACGACAACTGACACCTCAATCGGCGCGTTGAGAGCAAGCATCGAGCATTTTTTGCGATTTGTTCATTGGAGCCTCGCCCATACGTCCTGTTAAACTGAACGCTTGCTCATATCGGTCAAAAACAAAAGAGGGGCTGGCTGCCATTGAGTTATTACTGAGACTGCAAGGGCATGAGTGAGGCGGGTTCCTTTTGAAGTCGCGGTCTCCTAGGTGTAATTTTCTTTTCGTTGCCTTGTGCGAGAAAGGCAATGCGCTTGTGTGCAAAGTTCACGCTTTTGTGTACAGTGCAAAGAACAGCTGTGGCTGCAGTGCTCTGCAAAACAAAGTCCATCTGTATTGCTCGATTACTTGATTTTTTGCTTTTAATAAATGGTACGTTGTTAAATAGATAACATTTTTTTCAGACGATTTTTTGTTTCTTTTTGTCCTCTTCTTACGTTTTGCTCTTTAAAGTAAAAAAAAATCCTATAGCTGTGCACTAGACCAGCTCTGGATTGATTTCAATTTTACTTTTCTCGTTACAAATTTAAATGCCGCCTCCGCTTTCGGAACCCTGTATCGCACCTCAGCAGGTATACAGCATCACTAAAAAAAAACTGGCATTAATGGCTCGTTCTGTTTTTGTGATGTAGAGGTTGCAAGACTGTTTAAAAAATTATATTTAAGAGAGCGCGTGTGACTTCATGCATACCATTTTCTTTATACGTTTACTGTTGCTTTCCCTTCTCGTGATGCTGTTGTGCTCTAACCGTTACATGATATAATAATTGTCTATACCTGCTTAAACAACAATAAAGACTACAATATTTTGTTCATTTACAGAATGCTCTGATCGTTTTGTATGCTTTTTTTCTACCCCCCACCCCCCTCCCGGGCGAGATTGAAGGCGTGAGTGTAGTTTGCATTGCACACGCCTGTGGTCATTAGGGACCGAAACGAAAATCTGTGCGGGAGGGTTGAACGCATTGCATTAATAATTGACCACAGGGCTCCCCAGTCCCACACAGGTGATGTCATCGCAAACTGGCAGTTGGTTTGGCTGTGCGTGGTAAAACCACGGTGGGCTCCTCTGGTGGCTATGGCTCTTCCCCAGCGGTACATGGGGCAAGGTCAACCGAGAAAGGAAGACAATCCGCCACATTTTAACTCTCGTACATTCGCTGCCATGGTGTGTAATGGGTTTAGTGCACTGAAATTTCAATCCAGATGTCGCCGGTTCAATCTCCTGGCGTGGCCATTGAAATAAAGGGGCACGTTTCTTAAAAAGCCCCCCACATCTCGGTCCACCTATCAGGATGCATGTGTGCACTACAGACCATCAGGGTGAAGTGTAGGTGCTTCCACCTCTTCCAAGATGTATAACCAGTGTGGAAGAGTAGGCCATATTTTTTTGAGAGGGGATTTCTCTGCAAGCCTCCTCCAGTGAAGGCACATCTCCCAGCAGTGGCTTGAACAAGAAATTGCAGGGCTGCACTTTTTTTCTGAAACAACGGATATTGGAATTAAGTGGTAACCTGCTGGCGGTTTAATGAGTGTCGTACTCCAAAATGTCCCAGCTCCGTGTCCAAGCAAACCAGAATGTAATCTGCACATTATTATTAGTTGCTCCATATCCAAAAGAAGCCGTCTCAATTTCCGTTGCAAAAGTAACTCCTGAGCAATGCATTTTTGTGTCAATTGCTATCAGCAAAATAATACGTTTTTAGTAAAAACTCACGTATGTACATTTTTAAAAAAATATTGGGAAAAGATGTGATGCCAGTTGCATGGACATGGTCTTTTAACGAACACATTAAGACAGTGGTTCTCAACTTGGGGTGCGAGACATTTTTTAAGCAGGATTAATAGAAACAATTTCAGCACGGGCACGTAAAGTAAAATTACTTTGTTTCAGCAAACTAGATGTATTTATTCACATACTTTTTTTTACGACAGAACCAAAGGGATGCAAGGCTGCATTAAAGGTTAAGAACCTACTGCATTAAGACATTGAGTGCACACATCTTGATCTCGAGTCCACCTGCGGCTGACTGTCCTCGGGGACGAACAATGAGCCACAACGCAAGCCTTCAACTCTTAACGTGGCATTTAAAAGCCTTTGGATGGAATGGATGGATCAATGAATTCTTGTATTTATAATCGTGTGGGAGCTGTGAGGTGCAAGGTCACTTGAAACATTGGAGACCCTGGATTCTCAGCGGCAAGATCTCATTTCTCTTCCCAATCTGCCATGCCAGATCAGTGATGGATGCGTGGGGTATTTAGCAAAGCACGCAGCCGCCTTCACACATACCGTGATTTCCTATTCACCCGTGAAAGGAAATTGCACAGCGTAGACCCCGTGAACGTGTGAGCTGTCACTCAAGTGAAGTTTACATTTAATACAAGTTAAATGATCTACCCAGTCGCGTGGTTCAATTGTGTAATGTTTAGCATTCAGGACTGAATCCTGTGATCTGAATTCAAACCTCGGTGGGACCTGGAAAGAAAATTGTAATATATGTTTTACTAAGAAATAGACTCGACCCCCCACCATAGGAATGTGGAATGTCTCCTCCCTCGCTCAGAGATGTTAACAGAAGATGACCACTGTCCTCAATGCTCACTTGAGCAAGAAATCACTTTGACTTAAAAGACAAGCCCGGTATGGTTGACATCAGCTTAACCCAAAAAGTAATTGCTCTTGTTCTGTGGCTCCACGTCTGGGTGTCGTGTCCGCAGGCTATCCTGACGCAAGTGATGTTTTCTTTTTAGAGAAACGAAGGCAAATGCAGCAGCACATCTTTGTGGCATCACGCGAGTAACTTGAGGCCACCAAACGCCGCGGTTTGCCGGGACAACTTCTGGTTTCAGAAAGCCTCTTCCCGGTATTACCAAGCCTTTGTGAAAATCTATTTTGTCCCTAGATTGGTTGCTGGTTACGGGCTATAACTATCAGTGGCGATAATGATCTCAACTTGTTCTGGCCCCTTCCCCTTTGTTAGATTCAGTCTGATATGAGTACTGCACGTGGTGCAACGTGTAAACACCGCCACAGGGGATACAAAGGTGGCCGGGCGTGGTGCTGGTCACACAACACCCTCAGTTTCAGTTTATTTATTTTGGTATAGCCCTGTGAGCCATTCGGCTCTTGAATCTGGTGCAACCACAACAAACAAAAAACCAAAAACACGAACAAGAATTGGTGATCGCTAACAGCCCTTGCCCAAACTGTCTGTAGGATGATAGGTTGCGTGTACAGTAACACATGATGGCATGTGCTTTATAGACTGGACACTGTTGGGGGAGTTGCACGTGTACTGTACTTTTTGTTGTCGATCGTAAGAAGAGAGGTGTGTGTTTGGAGCGAGGTGGGGGATGGATACACGGTAAGAGATGGGTTTAAATGTAATACCGTATACCTTCAAAAGGAAACGTTTTAAAAACAAGATCAACGTACACTGGGCCCTTTGGTCAAGGCCCTCTCCACGGCTTATTCGCGTTGGCTTATTTAACTTAACATGCGAACACTGAATTACGATTTTAATTCATTACAAAAAAAATAAACGCTGTGCATTTTTTTTAAAAAATATATATACTTCATGAAGGTCCCACCGAGATTTGAACTCGGATCGCAGGATTCAGAGTCCTGAGTGCTAACCATTACACCATGGAACCCGTCACACCTTTCACGCTCGCCACACAGTCCTTTAAACCTCTCACGTTACATTTACGAAGAGTTTGGAGAGAACTCGGTGAATCTGCAATCTGTAACTTATAAAACTGTAATAATCGATGTATTATTATTAGTAGTAGTTAATTCGTATTCAAATATAGTTCCTTACAAAAGTATAAACCAACCCGCAGGACGAGGAAATGCATCCACAATGTATTTTTTGTATTTTTTATTATTATCGGTTCTTTCGATAAAGTCACCACGTAGGAAGGGGAACAGTAAAAAAATACAAATATAAAACAATAAAATTCTCACGACGTTGCGACTGCAACACAAGCAATCATCATCAGGTATGAAAACCGCAGCAAGAAACGTTTTAAAATTTGAAATTTTCTTGCTGAAGTTTTCTTGGCTGTGTGGTTTGAAATTTTCTTGCTGTGTGGTTTTCACACCTGATGATGGTTGCTTGTGTTGCAGTCGAAACGTCGTGAGAATTTTATTGTTTTATATTTTTATTATTTTTATTATTTTATCGTTTCCCTTCTACGTGGTGGTGACTTTACCGAAAGAACCAAGAATATTGTTATCCTTGTTGTCACGAAAGCTTTAAATCAAAAGGATAACAACACCGATGTCTCGTGAGAGAGTGGACCTGGCTCTTTTTCAAGGGGTTTTACTTAAAATCTAGATTGTTTTTTTTAACTAAACTTTATTCCTCTGTTTGCCGTGGGTCAAATCTTGTAATCAATTCCACAATTTTGCACACTTACTCAGATCCGGTGACAATGCATTGCCTGTATCAAAATCGGCATCAATTAATCAATTTATTCGCTCCTTTAAAGCAATTTACATGTAGTAAGGACGCCTTATTATTTATATTTATATGTTTGTGTGTGTAGATGTAAAAACGCCGCGGTCCCTAAGCTGTGGAATCGGCTCGCACGAGAAGCAGGCGCCGCGTGCCTCAGGCGACATTGACGAACTCCTCAAAGACCGTCAGTTATTTTATTGTGTTATTTTATTGTGATATTTTATTGTGTTATTTTATTGTGTTATTTTATTGTGTTATTTTATTGTGTTATTTTATTGTGATATTTTATTGTGTTATTTTATTGTGATATTTTACTGTGTTATTTTATTGTGTTATTTTATTGTTATTTATTGTGTTATTTTATTGTGTTATTTCATTGTTATTTTATTGTTATTTTATTGTGTTATTTTATTGTGTTATTTTATTGTGTTATTTTATTGTGTTGTTTTATTGTGATATTTTATTGTGATATTTTATTGTGTTATTTTATTGTGTTATTTTATTGTGTTGTTTTATTGTGATATTTTATTGTGATATTTTATTGTGTTATTTTATTGTGTTATTTTATTTTGATATTTATTGTGATATTTTATTGTGTTATTTTATTGTGTTATTTGATTGTGTTATTTTATTGTGATATTTTATTGTGTTATTTTATTGTGATATTTAATTGTGATATTTTATTGTGTTATTTTATTTTGATATTTATTGTGATATTTTATTGTGTTATTTTATTGTGTTATTTGATTGTGTTATTTTATTGTGTTATTTTATTGTGTTATTTTATTGTGTTATTTTATTGTGTTATTTTATTACTTTATTCTCATTCTACGTGACCTTGTCGACATAACCAAAGAAGAAGATTAAACGAAGTTGTTTATAAAATCGTTGTTTTTTTATTAAAGGTGTTTATTGAACAAACGGCCGAGCGAGGAGGGGTCGCCGCGCGGAACGTCGGTCGACATCGGTGAAGCCCCCAAATGAAAAGCCCCCCACACCTGAGAAGCGCCCCCACCACCAATCCCAAACCCCCCACACCTGAGAAGCGCCCCCACCACCAATCCCAAACCCCCCCCCACACCACCCCCCCCCCCGCACCCTCACCACCCCCCCGCCACAAGTCGGAGTCTCTTTGCCGTCCCACATCGATGTGTTCTGTTGAAGGTGTTCATTTCTCTAGGTCCACCTCCACCCACAGCACCCCAGCCCCGCCCCTCCACCCACAGCCCCGCCCCTACTCCAGCCCCCCCCCATCAGCCCCCCCTCCCACCAGCCATCCCCCCCCCCATCAGCCCCCCCTCCCCACCAGCCCCCCCCCACCAACCCTCCCTGTAGTGCAGCGGTTTGCGATTCGTGTCACGAGGTTTGTTCATCGGTCTCACCTCGTTGGTTAAGAGGTTGAAGGCGCAGCGCTGCGACAAGAGTTGCTGTTGGCCTACTCTTCCACGAAACCGCAGGCGCCCTGGAGGAGGACTCGTGGACACTGCTGGATCGTCGCGGGCGGCAGGCGGGGATAGCATCGAAATGGATTGCAAGTCCAGCCACACGGATTGCAAGTCCAACCACACGAATTGCAAGTCCAACCACACGGATTGCAAGTCCAACCACATGGATTGCAAGTCCAACCACATGGATTGCAAGTCCAACCACACGGATTGCAAGTCCAACCACATGGATTGCAAGTCCAACCACATGGATTGCAAGTCCAACCACACGGATTGCAAGTCCAACCACATGGATTGCAAGTCCAGCCACGCGGATTGCAAGTCCAGCCACACGGATTGCAAGTCCAGCCACACGGATTGCAAGTCCAGCCACATGGATTGCAAGTCCAGCCACATGGATTGCAAGTCCAGCCACATGGATTGCAAGTCCAACCACACGAATTGCAAGTCCAGCCACACGAATTGCAAGTCCAGCGTGCTCACCACCATTGACACCACAACTGACTGCCTCCTTGCTACAGAAGCGGGAGTAACCGCGTGGTGTCTGCCACGGGGTCTTCAGATTGCTAAATCGCGTGCCCCCCCCCCCCCTCTGCTGCTGCTGTAGTGAAGCTCGCTTTAGCCGCCAGCACCCCCCCCCCCCCGCTCCTGGTATGCGCGGTTTAAGCTTTTTTTATTCGTTTGGACTCTCCTCGACGAGTCGCGCTCCCAGTTTATTTCGTCTCGTCCCCCGCTCTCTCGCTAGCCCTGACCCAGTTCCACTGCTTTTTAGTCGACAAATGAGGCGCTGGATCCTCCAAAGGGAATAACATCTTTTTTTTGCTGCTGCTGCTGCTGCGTTGGCAGCGTTGCACAAGCACACATCGCTGAAACCTAACAAATTGGTCAGTAAACGCTGCCCTGAGCAAGAAATGTAGAAATATGTCGAACAGGCAACGTTTACGGCATTGACCCTTCTTCAAGAGCCAAACAAATCATTGGTCAAAGTGAGCCATGTGCCAATCATGTCTTAGTCCCACAGCCAATTCGCTTCCCTACTTTCCAGACCAATGTTCGCATTTGCATTGCACGGTATTGCATTTCGCGTTTATAATGCAGGCTTCTTGACAATAACATCTGGCAAATCAGAAACATTATTTAACAAGCCGGACTGTTGTTGAGACCCAGAACGTCGAAACGGAGCCAGTTCGCTTGGTGATACATGGTACCTAGTATTGATCTGGGTATCTGTGCGAGTCTATAGGTCTCTCCGTGAGTCTAAGGGTCTCTATCTGTGTGAGCCTATAGGTTTTTTTGTGAATCTGGGTATTTGAGCAATATTGGCTCTATTCGGTAAAGTCACGTAGGTAAAAAAATAAAATAAAAATCACGACATTTCGGCCACATCACAAGTGGCCTTCATCAGGTGAAGGGACCGTGCTGTCATGAAGACAGCGTTGGAGTGAAAACAGCCAAGCCCAGGTCGCGTCCTTTAAGCTGTGTGGGAGGAAGCAAAACGCTTGACAAAGGAATTAGCGTAAAAATGAGTACGAAGTACGTAGGAGGTGCATGGACCATGATGGACCAGGAGCGGGTGGGGACCATGACGGACTCACTCTACCCCACCCCGCTGCTGGTCCGTCATGGTCCCCACCCGCTCCTGGTCCATCATGACCCATGCACCTCCTACGTACATCGTGCTCATTTTTACGCTAATTCCTTTGTCAAGCGTTTTGCTTCCTCCCACACAGCTTAAAGGACGCGACCTGGGCTTGGCTGTTTTCACTCCAACGCTGTCCTCATGACAGCACGGTCCCTTCACCTGATGAAGGCCACTTGTGTTGTGGCCGAAACGTCGTGATTTTTGTTATTTTATTTTTTACCTACGTGACTTTACCGAATAGAACCAAAGAGTATGGATCCTTGCAGTCACGAAAGCTTCAAATCTAGAACATTGGCTCTGTTTGAATCAATGGGTATCTATGTGATTATTATATGGTTCTCTGTGTGAGTCTATTGGTCTCTGTGTGTCTATGGGACTCCGTGTATGTCTATGGGTCTCGGTGTGAGTCTATGGGTCTCAGGTATAGTAGACTGCAATAACGTTTAACACAATACCGGTACCAGACCTCGGTTCAAATAAATTCCTGCCACCCGAACACATGCCAATTCTCAGACTGTCCAGGGCAAGCCTGGACAGATGGCAACCCCTACCCAAGAAGAATGTCATTGGTGAACTTGTCTTGCCCACATGCAATTGCTACAGATATTTACTGCAGTTGGAATTCGAGCAAATGCTTCGAATGGATGATGCACCCCAATTTTTTGCTGCCTTGTTCTTAGCCTCGCGAGATTTCCGGGCAGGGAAATATCAATAGACGCAAATCATCAGTATAATGCCAGCTTCATGGAGAGGCATCGGGTTCATATCCATCATTATTGTTGTGACTGCATGAAGTCGCTAATTGGGTCTTGCTTGGTTTGTTCAAACCCACGCGCGGCTCACGGTAGGAGGGCACAAGGCCAGCGCGTGATGTTCCCTGCACCACCAACCACAGGGAGCGCGTTTGGGGAGCGGTGGCGCAACGGTTTAGCGAGCTTGCACTACGAACCCGGCGTCCTCCCGAGTTGGTGATGGATTTTCTGAACCGGTCCTGGGCCTTCCCTAGGTCGACTCAGTCTCATATGAGTACCTAGCGCGGTGTGTACTAAAGATTGGCACGAGACAAAGGCGGCTGGACGTGGGTGTTGGGCCCCCCCCGCCCCCCACCCCCCTGTGCAGTGCCAGATCTTTATAGGCGTTCGCTAGCAGCACTTTGCCCTCCAAATAATTAAGCTATACGGGGGATCTTTGTCTTATTATCTGCGCCACCACCAGCTGGGATAAAGCACACCCCGGGGTGCACAACCCACGGAAGTGGCACCGTCCGTCCGTGTTGTCCGCACGCCGCCGGTGAAACGTGGCCCGTGGTGGTGGTGGCGGGGGGTTGTGGGGGGCGAGGGATGTGGTGCGGTTGTGGTGACATCGCAGGTTACCACACAGCGGCGGGTGACGAACCTCTTTGACCTGCGGGTCAGAATATTACTTCATACGGTAGCTGTGGCCACATGAGGCCTTACACTTTGAAACGGCCCACGAACGGGGAGTATCCTTCAATGCGAAATATCTTAGCCGCACTTAATCGCCTACTTAAGGGCAATATAGCCCACCTGGCAACACCGTTTATAATTTTTTGTGCAATCGGTCACCTATTGTCAATCAAGTCATTCTGAGCCTACATGGTCAAAGCACAGTCCCAGCGTGATCAAAGTTTATTCTCAGCTGTTGGCTCCGCCAAAGATATTATCATCATCATCAACCACGATCAATCCACTACTGGACGAAGGCTTCCCCAAGGCTGTTGCCAATCTCTCGCGATCCTGCGATGTAACCTCACCGAGCACCTCATTACTCCATCTGCTTGGTGGACGTTACGGGCCTCTGAAATGCGTTGCATTCCGTGGCTTAATGGTACACGAGAAAGTCCCAGCCTCGGGGAACCATACATCACTCTTGGTCCGGTACCCGTGAACAGCGATCGGTAGCGATGCGGGGATGCGGAACGCAAAGTGCCCGTGGTTGGTGGTGGAGTTAACGCCAGCGATGAAGACGCACAGTGGGTGGGCCGTGCTAGGTGTTGGCCCGGCCAACTCGTCATGCGCCACGCTGGTCATAGCAGGTGCTCGTTAATGCCATTCTTTTCCACACGAGTCTCTTCCAGATCCAAAGCAGGAGGGGTTGTTGGGTACAGCCATCCGAGTGGCAGACCCAGAACAACAACCAACGCAGTTTGCCGCGGTTGTGATGTAGAACACCCTGTACCGGGCTTCGATAGTGACTTGTGATTAATAAACTGCGGCTGCTGTGCGTTCTGACTCGAGTAGATTTTGTTGTTTGATTTTGTTTGATTCGTCGTTTTTTTTGTATTCGCCTGGTGTTTTTTTGTGTGTTAAACGTGCGCGAGTTCCCAATGCGATTGCTCATTTGTCAGGTGCCGTGCTCTGCGCGGTTCATCGCTCCACGCCGCCCCCCTCCTCGCTTGTTAAGGGCTTGGAGGCTGCCCCTGGGCCAGATGGTGACTCCTCCACGTCCAGAGACCCCCCCCTTCCCGACCCCCGATGAGCAGACGGGACAGATGCCCGGTTTCGGGGTGGCAGTGCCAGGCTTGCTCCTCCGGCTTTGCCCCGTGATGCAGTCTCAATATATTTGCACTTCCTTTCGACTCAGTCACTTTTGGCCACACCGATTTGTTTTTACTCCAATTGATTTTTTAAATATATAAAAGGCCTGCTGGTACATCGAGTGAAATTATTGACACTTGCGTAGGATTTCGCAAGGGACGCTATGCTCAACGACGGGGGCAGCTTATCTCAGTCTCCGCTTTGCCTCTCGTTGCACAGACGCCTCCTTCGGTTCGTGAAGTTCCAAAAGAAACTCCCCCCCCCACCTCCCGAGCACGTGGAGAGAAACGGCAAAACAACATCCGGTGCAACCCTAAGCCACTCTATATATTTATTTTATCTTGATGTTGGCTATAATTGACGCAAACGTGTTCACATAATTGTTTCATACATTTGGCATTTCTTTTTTCCATAGTCTGAACGTGCAATTTATAAGTTTTAAACTTGAATAAATTATTATTGCCAATAGAATTAACAGTTTCAATTATTTCAGGGGGAAAAAAACATCAAGTGATTATAATCGGCCAGCCTAATAGACAATAAAAATCCGAGCATCATGCTGCCACACAAGCACAAGGCAAGCAGTCAACCCCAACGAACTAATCTATTACTTTATTGCAAAGTCTCACAACATTTCAGCGTCACACCATTCGCATGGCCCTGGAAGTTCGAGAGTTCACATACCCGTCGTGCATATTCTTCCTCCCCTGAGAAGCGAGGGCCGATGCCCCCACGGCGTGCCCGTACACTGTGCGTGTGAGCGTGTACAAATCCCGTTGTTCTCTTCGCCGTAAGCAGGACGACGACGTCCAGACACCACCCCGCGTGCAATAACCACGTGCCGCCTGCCTCGGCGTCGTGCGCGTCACAGTCGGTGGCTCTGCCGCCACGTGACCCACTCAAGGATTTTTCGCTGCCCGAGCGCCGCGTCAACGCAATTTTCGCGTGACGGGCGGCCGCCTCCCTCCCTGAGACGCCGTAGGAAAGTTGTCACCGAGACGAAGCGCTTCGTGTTGGTTTCATTCAGCTGCCTTTGCCCCCCCACACCACCCCCTTCGAGAGGGGCCATTGAGAAATACGGCGAAGATGTAGAAGTCAGGGGGGTTCGATCCCCCCCCCCCCCCCACCGCTGACGCCTGTTGTATATTTGGAGTTTGCGCGTCTTTTCCTCGTGGTTGCGTGGGTCCTCTGGAATTTAGAATCAACATGCGTTTGACTGCTATAAATGTCCACATGATATAAGCCACTTCGCTGCGCTATCCTTGTTGGCCAGGTCGTTTCTGAAAAAGGGGCTAATAGCTCAGTGCACTTTAACTAGTAAAATAAAGAGAGGGTTTGTTAGTCTTTATGGTGGTTTGCTTACTTTTCCTCTACTTTGCACTCCGATCGTGTTTTTATATTGTTTGTTGTTGTTCTGACCCATCCCTACTGGACGTGTGAAAAAGAGCTTTATAGCTCATCGGATTCCTCCAGTATAAATAAAGTTTCTTATTCTGAAAACCACATAATTATTCTGTTCACAATTTAGTTTGAAGACCATCTTCCGGTTGTGGAGGTTGTAAGACACACACATTGTGGTCTGCCTTTACGAATCATGTCAATTCGGGTCTTTAAGAGCATACAGCACAAGCTAACAATGTCCCACAGCCACGTGTGGAACGTGAACCGGCGACTTGCACAAATTGGCCAAAGATGAGCACGCAGGCTACTGGGCCATGCCCCTACATGTTTGACCACAAGCATTCAAGCGGAGCAGTCTTGCTAGACTTCCGGAGCCGTTACGCGGCTCTATAAGGACTGCCGTGCGGCCTTTTCGAATAAATAAAAAATGTCCCTTGTTATTTTGGTTGCCGACCCAACGACCATGGAAGTCCAGTTCACCGTGGAAGTCCAGTTCACCGTGGAAGTGCAGTTCACCGTGGAAGTGCAACTTACCATCATGCGTCTCCGGGAGACGCATGCGGCTCATTCAGGACTGTTTCATGACGTTATTTATTAAGTATCACCGTCTCGTATTCACCACATGCGGCTCTTGAAATGCTGAAGTTTTTTTAATCGAATTCGAAGCAAGACGGCTCTTCTTGTTGTTGTTGTTGTTTTTGGTTTCCGACCCCTGTGCAACAAGTACCATGTTCTGCAAGTACCGGCCATTCACTCCACCATGGTTTGCGTTATTCTCAGTTTTATTAGCACGCATTAAGTAGTCGCACGTTGGGCCAGCTCGTTATTGAATCTCATTACCGTGACAGTTTGCGATGCCCTGCATCAGAAGTGCCTTATGCGTAGTTACCGTGGCGCGTTGCATCGGGTGACAATGCGCTGGAGATGTTGTCGTGATGTCGTTTGTGACCTTATACCCCGTATTACATTCCACACCCTAGCCACTCTGATGCCATATTAAGAGAAAACATCTATCCGGAAATGGTAATGCTCAGTGCGCACGTTTCTCCCAATTAAAACTACCTTCGTCTTGTGACGACGCTTGAGAGCGCAAGTGGAAGATAATCGAGAGAGAGAAAAGCAATGGCATAAACGTGAAATGGATAACAAAAACAAACGTAAAGTTTGTGTTTTTTTATGTTTTTCCTTCCTTTTGGAGACCCAGGACACAGCCCTCTACGTTCAGTCTCCCGACAGCCAATCCCCACCGCTCAAGCTGTGCAGCAGCCACGAGATGCCCTCCCGCACGCCTCCCAGCGAGCTCGCGTCCGCTGCGCAAACCTATAGTCCACGCACAAACAAAGACAAGGATCCCCCGTGTAGCCTTAATAGACTGTTGGAGCAAGTGCTGTTAGCGAGCACCTGTGAAGGCTGGCACGGCACACGAGGGGGTGGGTGGGCCAGCACCACGACCGGCCGTCTTTGTGTCTCCAGTGGCGATGTTTACACGCTGCTCCAGGTGCTCATTTGAGGCCGAGTCGACCTATGTGAGGCCCAGGACCGGTTCAGATAATCGTCACTGCTGTTGGTCGTGAGCGGGAATCGAACTCGGGTCACCGGGTTGGTCACGCAGTGCGCTAACCGCTACACACCCTCGCGCAGGCAACAGTGAGTTATAAAGCAGGTGCGAGTTGATGGTCAGTGAAAGAGTCAGGGCAAGGATGGCACACACTGAGAGCGGTTTCGGGAATTGCAAGTGACGGGAAGTCCCCTGTAAGACCGAAAGGTGAAAACATCTACGAACAGTGATAAGACGAGTGCTGTCATCGAGCGCGGAGAGACGTGTGCAGGAAGGATTGTCACGGCGTACCAGCCAGGCCCGAGGCAGGGCCTGCAGTCGCAGGCGATGTGCCAGCAGCAGGGAAGGCACGCGCACGGTGGACGGCTCGGACGTGCAGGCCAGCACGAGCAGAGGGCTCCCCGGCGGACCGGCCTCCAGCATGGCCGACACACGGGCCGTCTCGTCCGCGCCGCCGCCGCCGCTGCCGCCGCCCTCCCCCTTCTCCCCCTCCGCCGTCTCCGGCTCCCCTGTAAGCCACGTGGCAAATTTGCTGCGACGATTCACTCGGAATGGCGACGCGCGTAACCTCGGCTGATCTCACGGTTAGCCGTGTGTGCCCACGCGTCTGCAACGAGCGTGGGCCGCACACCGTGAACAAGAACAAGGTGCGGGGGGGGGGGGGCACGTGACGTGGACGTGGTTTGAGAAATCTGCCAGTTTTTTTATAATTTCTCGTTACGTGAACATGACGCGGTTTCACGATGCACCTTCACTACGCAAGGCTCCCCAACTTCAAAGGAAGATGCTCGCGCGTGTCGTGGCTGTGTGCCCTGAGCGATGATATTTCAGCACATTGCCACGATTGTACAATCGGGATAACACTGGGGTAAAGGACAAAAATATGTTTTTACTATGTATATATTTTTATTTTTTTTATTGGACCCCGCAATACGAACACAACAGAGGTTACACAAATTCGCGTGCCGGAAACAGGTGGACGGAAGCCACCCCCTCTGCGCGATTCTCCCCCGAATGGGTGCCGGCTAGAGTTCACCCGGTTCACTACCCTGACAACGGTGGGGTCAACGATCGGAAGCGGGAGATGAACGAAGGGAGGGGAGAACGGGGAGGGTAAAGGGGGTATATGATTCACAAGCACCTGGCCCGGCTTCCGCGTTGGCGACGTAGATGAAGGCGTCCACGTGGCGGCACGCGTCCTGCACGTGCGCCGTCGGGCGGTAGCGACGAGAGGCGCGGGAGGGCGGCCGCTCGCCGTCCCCTTGACCTCTGACCCCGCTCGCGCCCCCGTCCAGCACCAGCAGCTTGTCAGGCGCCGCGCCGACATTCGCCGCATCCGCGCCGCGCTCGCGCTCGCTCCTACGCGGCACGCGACGGCGCAACGTCGGTTCGCTTAAAATCCGCCCACATCCGTCCAAAAAAATGCGACGAAATATCACGTGCAAAAATCCGAGGATATTATCCGCGTCTGTGACATGAGCTTAAACTAACACCCACAGTTAGACGCAAAGCACGTGTCTTCTGACAGGCCTGTACGCACACAAGCATCCGTAACAAAACATTGTTTGGTGATGCTGCCTCTGTTGCGTTGGCAGGGGAGCACAATAGTCAACAAACTCAACACGTCAAAAACACTGTGGCCTTAAAATGGAATATATATTTATGAAAGGCAACGTTTTGGCCAAGGGACCTTTTTCACGGCACAGAACACCTTCATCACGTGCTATGACGAAGGGCCACTGCCCGGAACGTCACCTACTATATATTTTTTTACAGCGCTATTGACGAATGTGTTCTGTACGAATCAGCAGGGGGCCTTGCAGCCTGCGTACAGTATTTAATCTTAAAGTGTCGCTCCCTGCATAGGTTACGCTGCATGTGCCGGGAGCTGCTCTTTAAGAACCGAAGAAGCTCTCGGCACCACGCGGAGCGAAACGTCGGACGTCGTGCCCAACAACACGCAACATCGTGAAAACGCGTCACAGGGCTATGGTCAAATGACCGATTTTAAAAAGCAGGCCAGGCCAGGCCCGCAGCAGGTGCAAGGGAACCGGTAAAGACGGTGACAACAAGAACGCGTGGGTTCAAGCGTTCAGGCGTAGGGACGAGTGGGTGCGTGCCGTTACTTGGTGGCCGAGTAGAGGGTGAGGATGTTGAAGGTTCGGTCCTCGTCGAACACAAACGAGATTCCGGATCCCACACCGGCTGCGGGGAACGACACGGGCAGCAACGGGCGATCGGACGAATGAAGGCCTCAGCCCAAAAGTCACTCTCGAAGAACTTTCACGTGCCTCAAGACTCTTTTTTTCAGGTTTCTGTAAATTTGCTACGTTTTGCCTAATGTCTATTGTAATATTATTTTCTTGTATGGCATTTTAAAAGGAGTCGACAGAGTTTAAAAGCGTGTGTTGAGTTTGGAGAAGCCGTTTGATGGGTGTCTGGGATTCCGTTTGCACCTCTGGCAAAAGCGAGGAGTCACTGACCCTTGAAGAGTCACGAGCAGCATAAAATTAATCTTCGTTAAAAATATTGCAATGACGCTTCATCCACAACCCGCTCAATCCACCCGTGGATAATCTCGAATTACCATATCCTCCGGATTATTAGATACTCTGGAGCGTAAGATGGTACCCAAACTTTGGGACCATATCGAAATATTTTTTTAACAAAAAATTCCACAAAATACATCCCGGGAAAGCGGAACACTTTGTAAACTATAACGTTACGGACGGACGGAGGGACAGCCGCTCACCATGAGGGTGTTGCTGCAGTGACGGCGCGACGCGGAACTCGTTGGGACTGCTCAGCAGCTGCCGCACCAGGGACACGCGCAGGCGCTCCAGGCCCGGCCCGAACATCGCAAAGCGTGGCTCGATGCGCGCGCCCAGCGCCGCCCTCAGCAGCTGCGGCAGCCGGGCAACGACGCCCGGCGCAGCCCTGCGCGACCCCGCGCGCGACGGATTTTCCGCGTGGCCCCGAGCATACCTGCGCGTACAAAGGTGCAAATTGCGCTTCGGCCGCGATCGATGCTGCTCGCCGAGTGACGGGCCTCCTCCTCTCAAAGAACGCCGCGGTTACTCTCGCGGTCTGGCGATTGCCATTTAAACTATGATTTTTTTATTTTACAAGGTAAGGCCCCACTGAGCTCTATAGCTCTTTTTCGGAAGCGACCTGGCCACAAATGACAGCTCGACGAAGTGGCTCATCATCATCATCGTCATCGTGTGGAAATGTACAGCAGCCAAATAACTCGCAACGCACGGAGGGAAAAAAAACGGAGGACCCGCATAAAAATCCACGCAACCACGGACAGAACATTCAAACTCCAAATATACAGGTGTCGGGGTCGGGGTCAAACCCATGACCTCCTGCATGCGAGGCAGATAGCATCTCGCCACCGTGGCGCCCCTACGTAACGGGTCGTGCGATACCCGACGAACCATCCGGCGCCTGCGAGCGTGGCTGGTCTCGTCCTTTGGCTGCCACTCCACCGTGAGTCCCGGCGGCTGACCATCTCACAGAGCACTTAGTGCAGGGGTTCGGCAACCTGCGGCTACGCAGCCGCGTACGGTTCTTTAAGGGACTGCTTCGTGACGCGTTATTTATTAAGGACCACCACCGTCTCGTATTCACGTGCATTGCGGCTCTTTTTTAGTGTTTTTTTTTTGTTGACCGAATTAGAACAAAACGGCTCTTCTTATTTGAGTTTGCCGAGCCCTGACTTAGTGTAATGATTGACTAATAACAGTCAAACCGCTATTTTCTCAAAAGATAGAATGCATCGAGAACAAATGAAATGGATTTTTTTTTTTATGCATTCACTGGTGAATTCACAACCTTTGCTATTTCAAAGTACCTGGCTTATTTACAGCCAGCCGAAACCCAGATTCAAACGCAGAGCGTCAGCGCTACCAGCTCAGCGCGATGACCACCTTTGCCAACCTCGCATCAGATTTAAGAACTGGAAGGCGATTGTGCCCCCCTCCCCTCACTCCTGCAGCACCCCCCTTCCAATGCACGCACATGGCCTTGAAGTCGGCGGCGACGGCTAGGTGGGCCCGCGTGAGTGCGTGCACATCGGGCATGCCGACACGGCCCACGCAGCGCCACGCCAACGCGTCCTTCAGCAGCAGCCGGCGCCACAGCAGCGGGTCGGAGGCCAGGCAGCGCCAGAGGCGGCTGGCGGAGCCCAGAGCCGCCAGGTCGCGGGCGCCCAGGAAGGACATCGTGTAGAGCTGCACGCCCAGCTGCACGGGAGCACGACGCAAGAACAATTGGAATCGTGAAGCGAGCGGTCGAGATTAACGGTGTTGGGGGGGGGGGCGGGGGGGGGGGGGCGGTGCGGGAGTCAAAATGGGGGCACGCCGCAAGAGATGGAGCGATGAGATGAGCTCGGGATGGATTCTTGCATCACGAGAACGGGATCGGTGTGGGTGCCCTGGGTAGGCCTTCGTTCAACAGTGGATCGATGGCCTGAATGCAACGCATCTCCAGATTGGGCAGAAAACAGAGCACGGAAGGGAGATCATTCCAGTGCACTCGTATAGAGCTCAGTCCTCCCATTGTTTGGTGTTTGAGGAAAAATGTGAGGTACGTCCAAGACCAAGATCGAAAGGCTTCAGAGTCCTGAGTGCCGCACTTCATCACTTCGCGATGCAACCTCTCTACCGCAGTCTCTCTGGCTTTAAAGTGTTTAAACTCCGTTAGCTTAGCACCAATTTGTAGTTTCTTCGAGTGCTTGAGAACTGTTGGCTAGTCATAAATCCGCCGAGGTTCGCACTGAAAAAGAATAGTGTAATAACTACATTATACCGAGTACAATATTCACTTATGCTGCCGGTAATTTCATTGAAATAAAAGAATGCAGTTTCCACCAAGGCTTTGAACTTGGATCACGTGATTCAAAATCATGAGTGCTAACCATTACACCGTTGAACCGACTGATGCCTTCCCTTGTCAACCACTCACTCACCACACAATCTCCTTGGCAGCAGTCGCAAATGTTCCGCATGAATGCTCATCGGGCCTGATCGTGTTAACAGTGCCTCTAAGGCACTCGGTGGGTGAGTCATGAATCCCATTGAAGGTTCCAACGAGCAAAAACGGACTGCGGTTATTGAAATTGTTACGTGGTAATGAGCACGGATTGTAGATCGTGTCGTTCTCGTGGGAAAAAAAAGACGGCGTTTCCTAATTTTACTGAGATTCGCATTCCGCTCGCTGCATCCAGAGTCCCGAGTACTCCGCGGTACACTGAGCAGCCGTCGGCTTCGACCTCCTCACTGAACAGGAGAGAGCAGCAGGCAGCGGGGCCGCTTAGATTGTGCCAAAACACCGCTCAAGCACAGTGTTGGAGTCCGGGTCGGTGAGTGCAGATTCAAGCGAGGCTCATTTCCTTCCCACTGTTGACTGCGAAATCAAGCTGCCTTAAGAGAGAAAAAAAAAAGCCACGATAATCTTCACCGTTAAAATCTTAACTCACGATTTTCATGATGAAGAAACTGTGAAATTGAGAGTTGCAAAACTCAATCGAAGTTAGCCGAGGGTTGAACTCAGATCGCATGATTTTGTCCTGAGTGCAAACCATTACATCATAGGACCATCACACCGCATCGCCATGCAACGTGATCTCTGTTCAGCAGTGTCTCTAGCTACATTATGTTAATAACATAAATTACTGCCAGTTTCATTGCAATTTGAGCTACCAGAGTACAGGAATCAAAGCCCGGAGTGCTAACCACTATACCACTGACACCACAAACTTTTGGCAGAAGTTGCTCAGCCTAAGTGTAGCAAACGTTTACATCCTGAAACTATTACGAGTGCTTGAGGACGAACCAATTTTAGTCATTAATCCGCCAAAGGTTCTAATCAGAAAAAGTAATTGCGGTTATTGATGGAACTTTAGAGCAATGTCAAACTCCAGCTGTGAAACATTAATATTGTCAGGCACCACCAGAGTTTGAACTAAAACCCCCCCACCTAGCAAATTAATGGTGTGGCCAATCGTGTTGTTGTTGTTATTTGACAAGCGAGAGGACACCAGAGAGCCTGGAGGAACACCCAAGATCGGAGGGAGTAAAACTCAAAAGCTCAACACATTTAGATGTAATCGTTGCTCTACTGCCATCTCCTGGTCAGGAATATATTAGCATGTAAAAAGGGGCTTACTGCGTTGAACTAATTCGAGAAGACGAAAAGAGAAGGGGCGGAGCCAGGATTTTGACCTTGGGGGGGCTGACTTCAATATTCTGAGATATCCAGTGTTTATGTTTTTCAGTGGGCGCGACAAATGTATAAAACAAATCTTATTGGATTTGAACGCGGAGTTTATTAATAGGTCGGAGCCGCTGATGTGGCTAATAAGTTCGATAAACTCGAAAGGCTGCCGCTCAAGCAGCCTGCAGGGCAGCACAAGGTGGCAGCCTGCAGGGCAGCACACAAGGTGGCAGCCTGCAGGGCAGCACAAGGTGGCAGCACAAGGTGGCAGCCTGCAGGGCAGCACAAGGTGGCAGCCTGCAAGGCAGCACAAGGTGGCAGCCTGCAGGGCAGCACACGAGGTGGCAGCCTGCAGGGCAGCACAAGGTGGCAGCCTGCAGGGCAGCACAAGGTGGCAGCCTGCAGGGCAGCACAAGGTGGCAGCCTGCAGGGCAGCACAAGGTGGCAGCCTGCAGGGCAGCACGAGGTGGCAGCCTGCAGCATTTTGCAGCAGCTGGATATCCGGTTATCCCGATTACCGACTTTCCCAAAATTTCAGGGGGGGCTGAGCCCCCCCCCCCAGCCTCCCTGTGGCTCCGCCCCTGGAAAAGAGTGACATTTTATCACGATCCAGTAAGACTTAACTACATTTAAATTCAAAATCCAACCATTTTTTGAACATAGCGTAAAATATAAAACCAGGAGGTCACACTGAAACTTGAACTCAAGATTCAAGGGTTATAAAGAGAAAACATTCTCACGTTGGACTAATTGAAGATTTTTCTAAATTTCCTCTGAGGGATTGTGCAATGGTGAGTGTGTTGATTTCTTGATGAGTGTGCACTCATGTCATGTGCGGTTTCTGTTGGTAGCCCCTGTGATTGTGTCAGGTGTAAATATTTTAGTAGCGTTTTAAATGTATAGTTCCATAAAAATAACTCAAAATAAAACTTAATTAAATAAACAAAAATTGAGTTACGTTTTAAAAAAAATGAATTAACGAAAGAGTAATGCCCCTTCACGTGTTTGATATTAATATGAATTATCTTTGTGAAGCTGGCCAGCAGATGGCAGTACAGAAAGGATATGCAGTGGAACGAGCAAGTGCAGATGGCTCGGTTCTCAGAAAATACTTTTCTAAATTTGGGCTCAGCAGCTGCTGCCAAGGGGTGGTGCAATGAGGTAGGCCTACGTGGTGGTTCCATGGTGTAATGGTTAGCACTCAGGACTCTGAATCCTGCGATCCGAGTTCAAATCTCGGTGGGACCTAAAAGCTAATTTATTTTAGGTTTTAATAAAAAAAAGAAAATCCAACATTCAATTGCATAAGCTTACTGGATCGAAGTAAAATGTTCAGCTTTTTGTCCTCTCGAATTAAGTTACGAGGCAAAGTCACCTCCTGGGTACGCATTTGCAAGTGAAATTACGTGTTTTAATGTATAATGGTGAAGTTGCATGTGAAGTTATGTAGTTGCATGTGTAATGATGTATTTGCATGTGTCCAGTAATGATACATTTAATACACATGCGAAGGTCTTATGGAGATGTTAGTACAGAAATTAATTGAATTTAAATTTAGCTGAGCTTTTGGTATTTCCCCCCTCGTATTGCACGGGTTTTCTCTGAACACTTTAGTTTCTTACCACTTTTCAAACATCCCAAAGCAGGAACCTTCTGAAAGAGGATCTTAGGCCTCACTGAGACTCCTTGATAAAAGGGAAATATTATTTTAATGAAAAGGCCACGGTTAGAAATTTAAGTTAGTTTGTTTAGACAGTAATATTCTTATTATCGTTGTTGTGACTGTATTAAATGTAAATATCAAAAAGGATTCTTATTTAAGGAAATACCTCGTGACTTTTCTCCATGTGCCTTGTTCCAGTCACCCAAAGGTTCCTCTCCTCGTGATAAATTAAAGAATCTGAGCTGTACCATTCCCCGGTCAAACACACTTATTGAAATATTTCCAATAGCCATTATAATAAAGAATCTTTCCATCACAAGTAAAAAAAAAACTGAAAACTCGTAATTTTCATAATGATATAAACAAAACATTGGAATCCATACTTTACCGAAACCAAAGAGTATGGATTCCTGCAGTCACGAAAGCTTCAAATCAAGATGAAAACATTGGAAGCTTTGCAAACGTATGCCAACGTTTTGGAAGAACCCGTTGAGAATGGAACTCAAACTGCAGGATTCAGGGCCCTGAGTGCTAACCATAACACGATGGAACCACCTCGAAAACCCATCACACGACACAAGTGGGAATGGAGAGAGAGAGTTGCGACAAACGACAGGAGGGATGTGGGGCAGGTGTAATCGTGGCAAGTAACAACTGGGCTCAGTTCTGTACTGAGCAATCAGGATGTCTTAGAAACTGAATCATATTCTTAGTTTTTTCGGTAAAGTCACGTTGAAGGGAAACAACAAAATAATAAAAAATATATAAAACAATAAAACATTCTCACGACGTTTCGACCATAACTCAAACGGTCGTCTTCAGGTGTGTTGGTTTGCATAAATTTATTTTTAAACGGCGCATTTATTTATTTATAAAAAAACCTTAGCGCCACGCGCAACGATTTGGCAGTTTATTTAGGACTAGTCCATCTATATTCTGAAAAGAGGAGGGGGGAGACGAAATTTTTTATAATGTATGCTGTCTGAAAGCCACTGTAAGCGTGAACAATCAATTAAGACCTGAAATGGTTTATCAAATCTTTCCAATGATTGCTAAGATAGAATCCATCTTCTCGGTTGAAATTGTCTCTGTGCTTGTATATGTGGATAGCCTCATGAACGAATCTCTCATGGAAGCCAGATGGCTTACAAAGAACCTCTGTCTTGGAAAAGTCAATGGCATGTGAGCCTACTGAATTAGAACAATGATCTGCCACGGCCGAGGTGTTGGTCCTACCGTGTTTAAGGTCTGCTTTGTGTTCACGAATGCGGTCCGAGACATGGCGTTTGGTTTCTCCAATGTAACTACTACCACAGAGGCAACTAAGTTTGTAGACACCAGGGTATAGTATGTCCGGAATCACAT